AAAATGGTGGGCCACACCCCAATTCCAGAGCCAGCTCTTTAATCAGCAGAACAGTTCAAAACAACTTTAATATTGTCTATACCCAGGTGGCATTTGGATCCCTATTACATTAGTTCCAATGGCCAGAACACCCAGAAAGAAATTTTAAGCCCGGAAGGGGGGTGGTGGTGGGGGCTGGACACAACAGTAACAGCTGCATTGTAACTGAAACATACAGAACACAGTAAACTCATTCATTCAAGCCAAGTCAGACATTAAAACAGACAGACAACATTTTTTAAACCTTTGTAGCTATAACTTTAAGGAGGGTGTCTTGTTACCTCTTGGTTCCAGTTCTCACTGGTACTGGAGAAAGCTGCCCATAAGACCAAGTACCATTCTGCAACCACACATTGTCATTTAATTATCGTAGGCTGCAGCCGGGGGCAGTGGTGGTACTCATTTTAAAGGAGCTGTGGGTTCGGCACTCCCATAACAGAGCCAACTTGTCAGTTTTTGTCAAAGAACTGCCTTTTTTTTTTTTTTAAAAAAAAATATGAAACACAGAGCAACAGTTAAACAACTAAACAAAACTACAGACAAAGTGACAGCCACGGACAGACTGCTGCTCTAAGGACAACTAGTTCTATGCAGCATTCGTGAGAGGAAAGGTTTATTTCTGTCTAGTTATCTTGAGTAGAGTAACTGGTTTATAATTCAGTTCAAACTAAAGCGGCCTTGTTTTGTATTATCCAGTTTACTTGTAGGTAATTACTTAATTGGGAAATGGGTCAATACTCACATCACTGTGAGGTCTGTATTATGATAACCTTGAGCAAGACACAAACAGTCCTTGACTTCATGAAGCTTACAGTTTGTTAGGGCAGACAGGAGAGCAGGCCCTTTTAAGGAGCATCTGACCTAACAGTGAAGGCAATCAGGATGCTATAGGGAAGATAAGGGCAGGTCCGGATGGACCTGGGATGTCAGCACAGACCACTGGGGTGGGGAACCTTGGGAAGAACAGTGCTGGTAAAGAGGTTATAAAGGTGCTGGAGGAAAAAGGGCTTCCAGGCAAAGAAAACAGGGAGATTCTAATTTCTATAAATTCTTTATGAGACAGGATGGGATCGTGGTAGGAGCACAGAGGGAGATCTAAGCACTGAGGGCTGGGAGGAAAGTGGGTAATGTCTATGCAGAAGGAGACAGGGTTTTGATTTTTTTATTAATATTATTTTACATACCAATCCCAGGTTTTGATTTCTGAAAGCCCACTTGGGTGGCAGTGTGGTGAGTGGGTTAGAACACTGCCTGAAGGTTTGGTAGTAGAGAAACAGAGCAGTGGGTAGGTTTGGTGGATACCACAGAGGTAGGATTCATGGGGCTTGCTAATTTGTGTTGGTCGTTGGTGAGTCAGCTAGAATTGCCAGAGTGGATATTCATCTTTATTAGGGGATGTGTCCTTTTCTCTGTAGCAAATGTTTGGAGGAGGTAGTCTTGAAGTAAAACGAGGAGCTGGTTGTGAATTGTAGGAATCAGGGCATATATAAAAAGTAGTTACAAGTGCCTAGAGCTCATGACAATATTCTGTTCTCCATCTTCCATGTGGATTGTAGCTAAAGCCACAGACATGGAACACATCGTTAGGGAGGACGGAAGAGATGCCAGGCAAGAGGCCTATGAGGTGTCTATCACCTGAGCACAGGAACAGGTGAGGAGAATGGCCATGGACAAAGGAGAAAGGGCAGAGGTGGCTGTGCCAGAATTCCTGAGGCTAGTGGAGAGTGGCCTCATAGGTCACACTGCCAAGCGGCAATCAGAGTCACTGTAGGAAGACTCCTGGATTTGGCCATGTAGAAATTACCAGAGTCCTCTGCATGTAAAGTTTCACCCAGGTAGAACCAGACTGCTTATTGTGGGAGAGTGAATGGGGCAGTGAAAAGTAAAGCCTGAAAGTGTGAAGATCAACAAATTCCCAGGAAATTAGGTGACAGAAAGGAGGGAAATGTTGCCTGCACGTAGAGGGGCTGAAAAAACAAAAGAGGACCTGGTTATAGTTCTCACTGGGGAGAGCCTGCTTTTTGTTTTCATTTAAAAAACTTTGCATACAGCATATTTTTGATCATATTCTTTTCTCTCCCTACTCTCTCAGATCTTTCTTATCTCCCTACCCACCCAACTTCATGCTTCTCTCCCTCTCTTTGAGAAACCCATAAGTCAGAAAACAAGAAAACCTAGTAAGATAAAAACACCGAAAGAAAAAGTGCACAGATAACAAACATGGAGTCATTTTATTAGCCAGCTTCTCCCAGGCCTGTACCGGCCCTCGAGTGTTGGTGATATTCTCAGTGACGCTCTGCTGGAGAAAACTGGTTTCCCTTTTCCCAGCTGCCATCAACTACACATAGCTTTTTGGTTAGAGGTGAGACTTGGTATCCACTTCCCTGTCTCTGTGCTGGGGTTTTTTTTTTTTTGTCTAATTTGAACCTGTGTACCTATCGTGTGCCTGTCACAGTCTGTGAGTCATGTGTACATCAGTTCTGCTATGTCTGAAAATTTTCTTTGTTTGGAGTCTTTCACCACCTCTGGCTCTTGTAGTTTTCCTGTCTCCTCTTTCACAGATCCCTGAACCTGTAGGGGGTGGGAGTTGATGAAGACATCTATCTCCTCTAGGGATGAGTGCTCCAGAATCTCTCACTCTCTTGCCTGTTGTCTGGCTTTGTGTCTCTGTGTTGATTCCAGTCACTGCAGAAAGCTCCCTGCTGCAGGCTGAGTGTCACACTGATCTGAATCTGCAAGGCTCTTCTTTGAATGGTGCGTGCGGTGCATGCACCATGGAACCCCTCCACTTCAAGGCCCCTGCTGCCCTTAACTCTGCAGAAGGAACACTTGAGTAGATTAAGGCTTTCTATCGGAGCTTCCGAAGCAGATCACCATCACCACCCTTTCCCTAGCTGGTGTAAAGATCAGAAAGAATGTGGTAATCCTTTCCTTGGTAGCAGATACCCAGGGGCATCTTGTACCCTGCTTTGGGGTTCATAAAGCATAGCATTCTGGTATTTGGTTTGCAGTGCATAGAAAACTGAGCCCCAAGTCTGCAACTCTAGATCTTGTAGTCCACGTAGGTACCCTTCGAGGAGGATCATCTGTGGCGGCTGGCCTTTTGTTTTGTTTTTGGTGAATGGAAGTATTAAAATTGGCATAGTTATAGTTCATTTAAAATAAGACTAAATGTTATCAGCCAATTTTGTTGTTTTGTTTGAACTTTATTTATGCATAAAAGTAACTTTAAGTTAGCTTTAAAAGGAGGTTGTTTATTTGAACATGCTTTAATAGTTAAAATATGCTTGAGTTATCTGTAGTAGCATCCAGTTTGAAAATATTTCTTTTAATTCTTTTAGCAGAAACCTTTGTGCGTTCCTTTAAGCAAATTTTATTACAACTGTTTCTATTTGTTAGCTGAATGAAAATGTTTTCTTAGGGAAACAGTAAGAGGCTAGTGCAGTTAGGGCTGTGTAAACACTTCTAAAAGCACTTGAATCTTTAATATAATTCATCTTAATCAATAAAAACCAGGAGTCAAATATTGAGGAAAGAGCTGGGTGGTGGTGGCACACACCTTTAATCCCAGCACTCGGGAGGCAGAGGCAGGTGGATCTTTGTGAGTTTGAGGCCAGCCTGGTCTATAAGAGCTAGTTCCAGGACAGGCTCAATAGCTGTAGTGAAACCCTGTCTTGAAAAACAAAGCAAAGCAAAACAAAACAAAACAAAACAAAGTGGAAGATCAAAGAAGAAGGAGCAACTGCCAGTTGCTTCCTATCTGTCTTATTCCTTGGTCCAAAAGGAGCTGAGATACTTTCTACTTTCTACACCCCACTTTATCACTTCCTGTCTCCAATTCCCAGTGTTGGGATTAAAGTCGTGTGCCACCATTGACCAGCTTCTATGGTTAACTAGTGGCTAGCTCCACTCTCTGACCTCCAGGCTGTAGCACAGAAATTGGGGTTCAACCTGAAGGTAAGAAAAAAAGCGAAACAGCCAAAACAGCCAGCCACCGATTCTTATCTCTACCTCAGTCCGAAATGGAGATACTGCTTCCGGGAATCTCACAGTGAGACTGACTGAGAGCTGTCTCCTCCCATTTTATATTCCTCTCTGGTGCTAGGATTAAAGGCATCCACCACTGCCTCCCAGTTTCTATGGCAAATAGTGTGGCTTCTGGGATTAATTTAAAGATGTGTGTCACCACTGCCTGGTCTGTAAGGCTGATCAGTGTGGCTGTTTGACTCTCTGATCTTCAGGCAAGCTTTATTTGTCAGAATACAAAGGAAATATCACACATCAAACACTTAAGTGAAGTCACAGTTAATATTCCCTCACAGACATTCCGAGTAATATGTCCGAAGGTCACATTGAGAATTGAGACTTAGCTCTTTAGTAGAGAACAACTTTGTATTCTGTTTGTTCAGAGACTTCTCATATACCATTCCCTTGGAGAATTTAAATGACACAAAGATTATAGACTTTGTTTATTTATTTTTTTGCAAATAAGGTATCAACTATTTCCCTGGGTAAAAGGATGACAGTTATCAGGTAACTACCTGGGCCATGGGTTTAGCAAATAAAACAATAAAAAAGTATTAGTTATAGTTGCTGATGTTTGACACTGAAATTTGAAGCTCCATGAAATGTTAGTCTTATTTTAGAGTCATTAATTGGCTTTCGGTTACATATAGGACCATGCATTTAGTGTTGCTTTTACTCAGGCATATACTAAGACCACTTCATCTCTTTAAGTTTCTGCTTCCTTGTCAAGTGGTAATAATAATGATATCAGTTTCTAAATGACTTGTTGGGAAATTTTACAACTCAGTACTCATAAGGACCTTACTGTAATGACTGCCCCTTAATAAGAAAGAAGTAAATATTAGCTATCTATTATTTTTCATTGGTCTTAGGCATTATAAGAACTGTATTTTATTTTTAAACATTTGTTAAGCCACCTTTAATTTTGCCTTTAGCCTAAGTCTATCCATACTGAAAGGGACCTCCGCAAGATGTCTGTAAAGAGCTCAGTCCAGCAGTGGGCAGGACTCCCTGAAGAAGGTGTTTAAACGTTAGTTCTCGCAAACTTGTCATCGCGATACCGGGTCAAATCAATTGGCTATCAATCAGTCAGATCCCTAGAATTTATACATTGCATAACTGGGATTTTTTTATTTGTTTGTTTGTTGTGATCAGGTTTTGTGTAGTGTAGGCTGGTTTCAGACTTACTATGTATACTGCAGAGGCTGGCTTTAAAATCCAGACCCTCCTGCCCACCCTGCAGAATTGTTTTGGGAAAACCCATTCCACATTAATGGTAATGGTTCATAATAAAATTAATTTAAGGGGCTAGAGAGATGGTTCAGTGGTTTGAAGCAGATACTGCTCTCCCAAGTTTAAGTCCCAGTACCCATGTCAGGTAGCTCACAACTATAACTCCAGCTGCAGAGAATCTGATGCCTCTGACCCCATGGGTGCCTGTGCACACACAGCAGAGG